TCTGGTGATGGATTGGTATTTCAAGAGTTTGGACCCAAGTATAAGACACTTTGCATGTTTCGAGGTTACCAAAACATCAGATTGAAGCAGCTCAACAAACAGACATTTGTCTTCCCCGTCCTACAATACTTTACTATGTTAATTACGTCAATCTGCAGGCATATCTTTGTTGTCTGACACATGGAGCTGTGGGGCATTGCGTGTCTACACCACCTTCACATTTTAGGGCTTACCATGGGGCCAGCTCATTATTAACTGTTAATTATAAATGTTTTATTTCACTATATGCCACATGATACAAACAAAACATAGTCACCGTTTTGAATTAGGAACACTTTTAAAGGCCCTGAAAACACATTCGTGTTACGTGCAATGGGATGCTTCATGAACACACAATTTTCTGCAAAAGTTGGAACAGTTTTGGTTTTTTTTCACTTAAGAGATTTCTTCTTGCTCTTCCCACTGGTTTGAAGTGGGCGGGGCCAGTTTGGAAAAGGTGATGTCAAAACGAGTCATGGTTTGAGCTACATTTGAATCTAAATCTGATCAAACCGACAGACAGTCCTGATGAAGTTTTTGTGTATTGAACCACTAATAAATAATACCTTAAGAGACTTTTACACTTTAATTGTTGCTTATTTCATAATGAGTATTTAATGTTAAGATTTGAAGCCAAGTATTCAGGGGCTTTAAATTAGATGCTCTTGATATAAAAAGAAGAGGCAATAAAACATATTTTCTGTTCAGATACAATATTTATCACCTGCATCAGCCATCACAGCATGTTGGCTGGTGGTAACAGCGCAACATATTACTTTACTTCATATAGAAGGGAAAATATATTTTCTAAGCTGTTACTGACTTAATTATACTCAATACAATAATTTCATATAACATTCACATTAAACCTGTCTGAAACTCAGGCAGGCACAGGTTGATACATACATTTTTACCAATTAAATGTTCATTTTAAGTAATGGTCTCTCCTTTTCTCTCTCTCTCT